TTCTACCAGTCTTAATACTTAAAGGGATACTCCAGTAATTTATGTAGTCCTATTGCACTTCCATAAAGTAGAGAGACACAAAAGAGAGTCCATAATAGGGGCCAAACTCCAGAACAGAGCAGGATCCTACACCTTCCATCATGCTAGTATCTTTTTATTTGAACATGGGAAACATCTGCCTCTTTTAAATTCCACATCATCACTTTCTAATGCAAATTTGTAGTTTCTGGGCCTCAGCACTGATGACACTGGTTATGTCAGATGCTAGTGGAAAACCTAGCTAGTTTGATTTTAACAGCTCTGATGTAAACAACATGCACAGGTGGCCCATATGGAAAAACACTGTGTGTGCGTGTGTGTGTGCGCGTGTGTGTGCAGTACATATGCAACAAGGCCCACAGGGACAGTGCACTGATTGAACAATTTCCACTTGCATGGGCACAATGGCATACTGTCAAAGATTCTGTTTCTGTCAATACAGTATAATTATAATATAGTTAATTCATTTAATGGAAGAAATAATACTTCAAATGAGGTTATAGTGGTTTGTAACTATGATTTCTTGCAGAAAAAAAGGCAGTAACATTTGCAAAAATAATAATAACAGTAATAACAAGAAATAGTGATGTAAAGAGAAAGTCATACAGTACAGACATGTCATACATTATGAAATATAAATAAAGCTCTGAATAGTTGTAAAACTACAGTTTAAATCACATCATAAATTAATGGAATTATTCTTTAAATTTTAAAGAAAGATAATTCAATCTAGCTTTATTGGCATGAATGTAACACAATGATATTGCCAAAGCTACAAATAAATTACAAAAAGAACAATTCATTTCATACAGTTCATTAATCACTATAAAAAGTATATATATATGTATATAAAATAAATAAAACCGTAAAAGTTTGTGTTAAAAAAAATAAAAATGTAATATTTTAACCCAGTGTATTATGTTACATTACATTCTTAAGCAGAATCTGACTTTGGAAACTCACCTTCCTCTCTGTCTGTTTGTCTGCAGGTCGTTCCTGCGATTGCTAGATGTCAACCAGAACACACACCGACTTCCCGAACATGCAACCAACAGATAACACGGAGGAGCAGCAGCAGGATTTGATACATCCAAGGAGAGGCTTTTGTTTTATTGTTAGAGAGCATCAGAAAGTAGCCTGTGTGTACCTGCTGGGAGGCGTTCTGGCTGATAATTGAGCTACTCATCTGCAGCCTGCACCTTCACTTTTTGTCACTTTCACTTCAATCAGTTGAACTTTTTGGGGGGTATTTAGAAGTTGAAATGGCTTTGATGTGAAGAAATGGTCATATCCAACCTTTTGAGAATTCCTTCTATTCTGGGGTGAGTGAATGCTTTTGTCATTCATTGCTGATGTTTTGGTTTATTGACTAAAAGTGACTTCATACAATGGTAACGCAAACCTATTACCAAAAAGCTCCTTAAGTGTCCACATACTGTAAGCTGTGTCAATGTCAACTTCCATCGTCTGTACTGTGCGTGTAAGGTAAACATTGATGTAGATATTAGTCGCTTACTGTGGCCAACCTAACCCACTGTCCATGCTTTCATGTCAAGTAATCGATATAGTCATGAGTGTTTAGAGTGGTGTTGATAATTAATGATAATCTGTTAATTCCCATGTTTAGCCTTATGGAGGAAAGTAGTGGATTGCACTGTTCATAGATACAGAAAGAAGAAATGTTTCTATAAAAGACTTATTAAAACAAAAAGACTTTGAGCTACATTTTATTTTATTTATGTGTGTGTGTGTGTGTGTGTGTGTGTGTGTGTGTGTGTGTGTGTGTGTGTGTGTGCGTGCATGCATGCATATGTGTGTTTGTGCAAGAGAGTTTGAAATATTGAAATATGCCCTTTCTCTCTTCAATACATAATACAGCTTGTCTTTTCTCTTATTCTCCAATTCTTCTCTACTTGTTCTTCTTATTGCACATTAGAGTTTCAGGTCATCCTTATGAGTATGCCACTCCAACATTTCAATGCGCATATTGAAAATACAGTATGAGTTTGTTACAAATACAAACTTTCAGTCTTGAATGTACTAGTTCAACTGCCATTGCTTTTAAAGTTGTCCTCTTGTATGAGCGGTTGTAAACTGTATCCAGCCACTGTTAGTAATACAGTATTGTATTACTTTTTATTTCAGCTCTCTGCATTATAAAAGTTATCAGCACTTGATATCAGCTGATAAGACCTCTGCTCAGGTTGATGATAGGCAGAGGTACAATAGATGTTACCAAACTCAATTAGACTGGCTACACATTAAGCTTTTGTTTATGCGCCACTCAATAAAAGGAGTGCTGTTGGCGCATGAGGAGGCTGGAGTAGATAAACCTGCAGCAGGTCATGAGGATGTTGTCATATTAGTCGTTGAGCATAAGTTGTGCCAATGCTGAGCTGGAAATAGGTAAAGATAAGGACATTCTAAACATTAAATCACTTTATCTTGTGCCTTGGCAGAAAGAGCTACTGAGAGAGCAGTAGAAGTAAAAAACCTGTATGAGTATGCCTAGGATGTGTATGGGCTTTCAGTTGGAGCTTAGTATGCCTTTTTCAAGATCAAATTGCTGTTTGTCATTTGTACTGCAAAGTCAAGTAAGGTAAGTAAGTCAGTTCAAACTTATTAAACTGACAAAGGTTCAGACAAAACATTGATCAAGACAAGAACATTAAACATATTTGTGTGTGTGTGTGTGTGTGTGTGCGCACGCGTGAAAGCCTGAATGAAAAAATAAGATAGGCTATAGCCTAAATATAAATATAGCATAGGCCTATACTGCAGCTGACTTGTCACAACAGCTTTGGTGTAATTATTACCATTGCTAACACTTTACAGTACTGTACACAGAATTGTGAGTAGTTACTTCCAGTGAGGAACAACCAGATAGGCCTAATTAATTCATTGTTAATGAGCAGTTCCGGGAATATCTGGAGGAGTGGAGAGGCTATTTATGAACTAATCATAATGATTGAACTAATGTCTCAGTCTGTTGTCTATTAACTCTCCATTATCATCTATCAAGTCCTGATTCAGGAAGTAGCTACTTATTAACAATTAACGAATGATAAGGTCGTTTCTTATTCGTTCACGACTCGTTCCTTAGTAGCCAAACTACTCACAAGTGTATGTGTGTTATGTGTTACTTTATGCTATTAAAGGTACTTGCGCCTGTGCTTTTTCTGTCATTTCATGCGCTTTGGCAATGCCTCAGTGTCTGCCGTCTTAAGAGCTCATTCTGGGTCTTATAAAGACTCTGGCTCCATCTAGTGGACAATGCCATACGGATCTATTTTCCATTTCATTAAATCAATCGGATACGTAGACTGTGTCGGCTCCCATCGCCCCCTCCACCCCACCATTCCCTCCCTAATCCCGTCAAAAAGGAAATGCACGACAGTGAACAAGTTACATTTATTAACGGAGCAGAACTATGTTTTTGTTTCATATTAGCCTATGTAATAACAATATAGTTTAAATAGGCCTAGTCTATAGTCTACAGTTGGTGTATGGAGTTGTGTGATTGTTTATTAACCATAGGCTTACTATTACATTAGGAGAGTGCTATTTTTGTTATAAACAAGTTGTAGACAGTTCCGGCTCTCAGAAAGGAAGGAGCCATGAGATGACCCGTAATTCACCAAGAGACAGAAGACAGCAATGAGCTGCATGGTATGTGTTGACAAGAGCATGACTTGATTTAGTGCTTGTCTAAGATCATCTTAACCATACTTAGGGTGACTGTAAACAACATTGCCATAACAGACCGGTTATTATTTGCAGGGGTTTGTTTTCCAGTTAACACTGCCCTGAATGTTCTGAGAGGCACCACCTCGCCTCCCTTGGACGCTGCTTCTTCATGTAGGCTATTGGCCCGCTGCAAGAAGAGGGAGACAGCAGCATCAAGCCAGTCATTGGTGGCCAGAGCAGGACAGGAAGTTAGACGGGTTCGCATTAAAAATAAATGTCTAAAATGTTCAGGGATAGGGATAATGCGTGTGAAATATTGTTTTACGTTTTATTTCACATAGTAGCCTACACGTTTTTTTCACAGCTTGACTCATTTAGATAGCCTATGTTTCAAATTATCTGGATGGGTTATAATTTTCTATCTTTTTGTGCTCTGTGCTCTTTCACGCTTGTTTTGTTTTGAGCGTCTGAAGGACTTTATCCTTGCAACATGACACATGACACACAACATGTTTATGGGAATGTTCTTGGAACAGTGCAAACATAGTGTAGAGTGGACAAAGACAGCAATAGGCTATGCCTGCTGGGACATAGACCAGAGTGCCTGTAAAAGCCAAGTGATAGAAAACCTACTGATAGTGTTAAATAACATAATCAAATAAAATAAAATAAATAAATTCCAAATTATTTTGTATAGGAGCAATTTGGCTTGATAAGCAATGGCATACAAGCAGTTGTGGCAACTGCAGCAATTGTGGCAATTACATTTAGGAAGAACCCATGTTAATTAATTATTTCCCCTATACACTTTATATATTTATTAGATTGCTTGCATTGTATTTATGTGGCCATGCTGAAACTATAGGCTGTTACTTATGTTATGTGTACCAACTTCCTTTTATGTCGTACCGTACTTTAATTTGAAACTCTTGAGCGGAGGTCTCCCATTGAGTAGGCAAATCTGTGCGCCTTGACACAGATGAGAAAAGTTTATCAAGCGTCACCTCTGGGACAATTCACCTAGTATCAGCAGGGGTGTCTTAAAGAAAACTGAGCCTTGGTGGAAATTTTCCGTTAAACACCTCAAAGGGAAATACGTCAGCCCGGCGGTAAAAAAAAAAAACAACAAAAAGAATTAAGAAAGGGGGAGATTTTTTTGTGTGTGAAAGTCCAGAGACCAAGCTGTTTGCGTTATGGACCCAAGCAAGCCTGCGAGCTCTCCTCAAACGGGATGGGCTACTGATGAGAAGTCCTCCATGGGCCAGGCGGCACCTCCGCCCTACCAAGACAACCCCCAGCCGGGGTTCCCCCAGCCCGGCCCGGGATACCCACCACAGCAGCAGGTAAGCAGCCCAACAGTAGCCCTCACAAGTAAAACACAAGTAGCCAAAAGTCATTGCAGGTAACGGAATGCTACAGAGTTCAGCAACATATTTTTACAATGCATTTTAATAGCCTACAAATTTCGATTTCGATAAAGGTTTCTTAATTTGTACCTATTAATAATGTAACACAGGAGACTTTTAAGAAGTGGGGGGCTATATTATTGTGATATTTGCTGAAGTAGGGCTATGTTAACATGTTAGTGTTGGAAGTTTTTTTCAGTGGAGATAATTTAGATGAGCGCTTACTGTGAATATATGAATCACGTTGTTAAATTATTAATTAGCCTAGACGTGAATTTCGATCGTATCAAGATAATTAATTAATTAATTTTTTTAATAAACAGTGAGAAAAAAAAACATTCCCGTACTTAGACCCTACATTTATATAGGCTAGGAACAGTTACTTCCATAATGTAATACATTTTAGATTACTAGTTACCGTTATTTTTAGAGTAATTAGCCTAGTTATATTACAATATCACTGTCTTTGAATTGTAATGCTTTACACTACTTTTGACTTACTTTGACTTACTTTCGATGCTGGGCACATTACTCCGACAGGATCGGTCAGGATGAACTGACAGCAGCCTCTCTGATCAGGAAAGTAATTCGTTAAAGCATAAATACATAGCCTATAGAAATCTATTTACGCATTATAAATCAGCCGAGCTACCGTCTTTTTTATGAGGAGCCGAGCTCCCCAGTAGTTTGCACCCTGCGTACAGTCTCGTCCATTGGATTCCCGCAACTGAGGCTCTGGGGCTGAAACGTTTCTCATTGTTGGTAAATTATTAAAAAACAAAACACAACTTAATTTCGGGTCAAATGCGTTGTAACGCGTGCTACTGAGATTGTAACGAGTATATTACCGATTTTGTTTAGTAATTCGATATATTACTGCCTTAAAAGCAATACATTACTGTAATTGCGTTACTTTTGCAACGCGTTACTCCCAACTCTGCCTACGAAAGTCCAAATTGCGATAATAATTTGTGAATGGCCTGTTTAATGTAATTGCTATGGTAAACCCTGGTCACTAGAAGCACCAAAGAATCAAGTCATGAGACTTTGAACCTTAGACTACCCTTACTAATTCAATCAGTTTCACTATTGAGTGTTCATCACAAATCACAAGTGCAGACATGTCAAATAAATTTAGTGTGTTTTGTTTCAGGTGAAGCCTCCCAATTTATAGTGCTTCACCGCCCCTCCAGACATTTGGCATCCTGGTTTCACTTGGCTACTTTACACACCTGTTTCCTTTGACCTGAAAAATGACTTTGAATTGTATTCCTCGTGTGTGGCCTGCAGGGCTATGGAGGTGCACCTCAGTTTGAAGGTGCAGGATATGGGCCGCAGGGATATGGGCCGCAGGGATACGGGCAGCAGGGATACGGGCAGGCGTACCCGGGACAGCCGGCCACCGTCACTGTCCAGCCCACAGTGTACGTGACCCAAGGCCCGCTGGCTAACCCTGTCAACGACTACCTGTGCTACTCCATCTTCACGATGATGTGCTGCTGCCTGCCGTTTGGAATTGTCGCCCTTGTCTACTCCATCTCAGTAAGTCTGATTCATACACATCCATACACAGAGCAAAACTTCTCCAAACCCAGATCCAAGTGATTTATTTTTCAATAGAAAGGTGAACAGCGCATTTTTTGAAATAGGCCCACCTTAAAACTAGAAAAAAACAACAACAATGCCACTTAAGTGAGATAAGAAAAACAAAAGAAAAAATGTTGTGTCTTGTGGTCATGGCTGCCACAGTATGTATTGCTGCACACCAGAGGATGGGGGGGGGGATGAAATTTCCAGTCATTGTAAATAATTAATAGAGGCAGCAACAAAAGTTGGTTTTATGTGTGGGCGGATGACTGTGTGTGTGCAGAAAGAGTGTTTCGGGAAGTGAAGCAGATGTGCTGATCCTGAATGTCTTATTAGCTGAGAGCTACCCTTATGTTCCCTTGTTGTTCCAAGATCTAAAATCAGGCATGATGCTGACAGAGACTTAGACTTGCAAGACCTGATCATGGCAGCAAACCATGTTAATGTTTTCCCTTAGTTTTTATCTGTTTTTATCTGTGCCTTTAGACAGTAGCCTAATATAAGTATATAGTATATATAAGTGCTCTTCTCCTGCTAGTCCAGTTTCATCTGCCAACCATCACAGTATCAAGTGGAGGGAATAAGTTATGTAGGCTAATTTAAAAAATTGCTTTGAAACTCCAATCCAGAGTTAAGGAAAATACAGGCCAGTTATCTGTGGCTCGTATTTGGAATGTAGTTTTGGTACTTGAGACGGCTGGATAAAAACCTTACTTTTGGAGTTACACTTTAGTTGATAAGTGTTGTGTGAGGTAACTCAGCAAGTTTGCTTTTGCACTGTGTCTAATTGGAGTGGTATTTCCTCTACACTTCTATAGCGAAGAGGAAGGTTGAATGTTTCCATGTGGTCGGTGTTTAATTCTCAGAGTGGAAAAAAACATCTTGTGTGACTTCCTACAGGTTTGGTTAAAGAATTAAAAGCCGATTTATTTGACCCCTTAAACATTCACTGAGAGTCTTACTTGCAAATGGAAAGTGGACTTTTCTGAAGCTTTAAAGGTGCCATGAACTGTATTTGACACGGTGATGAATGTGACGATTTAGTATCTTCTAAACAAATGTAAAATTTGGTGAGATTTCAGGTGTCTGCTTGTTTATACACACATGTACTGTATACTTGTAAACTATCTACACATTAGTTGCTACAGCCAACTTCAGTCAGTGTTCTATACTGAATTTAGGCTGTAGGGCGACAAACAACTTGCTGTGGCAAACCTACATAGCAGCAGTTGTTGAACTTTATATTTAGACTTAAGTCTTCACTTAGCATCCAGTATTTACCTGGACGTTTGTAAGCAGCACACGGGTTAGAGTCGCACAGCCAGACTGTTTACATGGCTGTTATTTCTGTCCTTTGATTAATGATAATGCAGTCTTTGTTCTGCTACAGTTTATTAGAGCACAGTCCACGGCTGCTCTTTTTTTTAAAACTCTTGCCAATATGTACAGAGCAAAGTCCATTACAGACATCACCTTTTGTTAAATCATGGCCAGTAGGTCATTTGGCTTGTTCCAATCTGCACCTTTAGAAAAACTGTGACTGTAACTTGGAGCAGTCACTCAGCCACAAAATCTGTTTTGGTTGCTGCTTCCAAGGCTGTTGCAGAAACAGATACTATATGAGGCCCAAAGCTGCGGGACTAAACTGACTAAAGCCATGATTCAGTGAAAGGTAAACCAAACTCAGCTATCCCCTACTTTGTTTCTGTGCACCTACTCATCTACGTGGATTACGGCAAATGGGACTCTCACACATTCCCGCAACAACAACATAGATGGATGCGTCAATATCAATATGAACCCAGTCTGAATGAATTGTGCATATAATGCATAAATGCAACTAATACAACACTGTAAAATAGGCATGTGTGTTGTTATTTGTATTTAATGATGTAAACTATCTAAAATTCCTTTCCCCAAAATTATGAGACTGTGTTTGGCAGCTTTACAGCTCCAAATGGAAACAATGAGTAACTGTTTAGAAAACACGAACTTCAGCACGTAAAGTTATGCAAGATGATGTCAACAAACTTCAGTTAGTATGTTTCTATCAACCAGCTGGTCCAGTCTTCGAGTGTTAAAAGATTTAACGTTGGTCACTCAGGCTTCCTTTTGAGGGAGGATGGTTTACATTTCTGTACTGCAAGCTTTTGTTACTTATTGGTCAACATACTGATATATCCGTGTTAAGCCAAAGTCGGCTGAGCCCGATTGCTGCTAACCAAAGGTTATTTACACTTTGGCGAATGTGTGAGCTACTAGCAGTTACTGTTTGCATTGTTACCACGGACATAAAGATACAGATATCAATGAATTGCTGTTGATGCTGGAGGAAAGGTCTGAATTTGATCATTCTGAGGCCTGACCTGAAGCTTTAAGGAGCATTTTAATGATGTGATGTACAAAAAACAGACTGTCACTGGATAGTGTATGGGGTCTACTGTATTAGTTCCTATTCTGAGAAGAAGAAATGTGACTTCGTTAATTACATCATAAAAGTTTAAATGCTTTGTCTGGAGATTCTATTAAAATGAATGATCTTGTCTCAAGGTTTGTATGCTGTATTTTATCACACTGCCCACCATCTCGCTCTCTTGTCCTCTGCACACAGTACAAATACAGTGCATGAGGAAGTGCCTAATCTACAACTGGATAGATATACTGGTTTACTGAAATATGGGTCTATATTCGGCGCTTAGTAGATATTTAACTTTAAAAATTTTTTTTATTGATATTTTATTTTTAAATTGAATGTTGTATTTATCATTCTGGGGGGTTGGTTGGCACAAATTACAGAAAAATCTTGAAGAAATAATCCCATATGAAAAGCGTATTCTATCATCCAAAGTCATGTGGACTTCGGAAAATGTGAGCATCACACCAGAAATTCATTTCTCCCGCGGTGTTTTGAGGTAGGGGCAGAAATCTCAGAGGTAGACATCTCAAAACCTGTGGAAATAAACTAGGTTGCAAGATTAATTTCTTGGATGCAAAGATGTATCTTGCAATGTAATTTGGGGCAAAGTGAACATTTGAAAAGGCTTTAATGCTAGCTGAAAGGTATTGGTACTGGTGGTGGTAATTGCCTTCTCTGCTTTCCTGCACTGCATTACAACAACTCTGTCATTAGTTCAACTGTACTGAAGCCTTTACCTATCTGTTTTCTAATCTTACTAAGAAACCATTGGTAGCCTACAAAGACATTATGCAGCTGTACCCACCTACATGTTAACCCACAACGCTGCTGCATATATCTCAGCAGCTCAGTGCGGGGACAAGGAAATAATCTGATGTTTAAGAGTACCCCCCTTGACCAAGCACTTGGCAACACAGGCAAGTAAAATCTCCCTTTTAGGATAAGAGGTAGAAACCTTGAGCAGAACCATGATTCAGGGTGGGCGGCCTTCTGGCTCCACCAAATAGGGTGGGGGGACAGAGAGAGAGAGAGAGAGACAACAGTTACTCAGCTTGCACTGACAGCATATCACATGATTTTAGATTATGCAACAGACTTTCAACAATCGTTCATGTCTTTACTTCACATAGAACAAATCTACCAGTACGGTCTCTTCTAGAGATGGGGTCATAGAGTATGACAGTTTCACTTTCCACACCGAACACTTTTAATCTTTTAACAGCCATTTTCATTCCACTGAAATGACCTGTTTCCTCTCCAGCTCCAAAACATCAATCTCCAAAAGTAAGGGTTCATCAGAAGAACAGGTCATGACAGCAGTTCCTCTTCCGTAACACCACCTTTTAGAGTCAGCTATTGGAACAAGAATCTTAAAACACACTGGGAACATTTCCCAGATCAAATGATTCTTTTTTAAGAGAATAGTTCCATTCCTTTGGACACCCTCTTATAAGACTGTTGCTGCATAAATGAGTAGCAGAGCATTGGTTTAAAGAGAAAGTGTCCCAGAGTCACCTTCTCTGAGGTATGTTGGCCTGATGTGAACTCACATAGATGAACTCACGAAAAAGGACAGTGAAACGTTAAAATGAATGGTTTCATGCAAGGTGCACATTCCTAGCTGAATAGATATAATGCTCCGTATTTTGTTACCAATATGACCAAATGTTGGTTTTGGCAGTTCATTTTTATCACATTATGAAAAAACTGCTTCCCTTTCATTCATTTAATGTGCAGTGCAGAAGTAATAGAGAGAAGTGAATAAATAAGTTTGGCAGTTGTCTGGGACAACAATAGAAACAATTAAAAGTCGTACATACTGTTAGTACTTGGCTGTTATGTACACAGCTCTAACAGTTCGAAGTTTCCATGATGCATTTACACACTTAATACTGGCTTTCGGTAGATAGGACTGTAAATTTTAATTTATCTCTGCGTTGAGGGGACAGTGGCTGCAGGGTGAGTGAAAGAGCTGTTTGGGTGAGTGATTGGGAATCAGTAATACTTTACGTTATCATAGCAGGTGTCATGGCAACATAAATGTCTGACAATGAAAAGGATTATTTTAAACACTGGGACTGAAACACTTATTACCTAAGAAACATAGAAGTTATATAATTAATAATAAAAGTACTGTAACTCTAATTTCTGCTGGGTTTTTTTAAGATTGTGTGGACAATTTTTGCCCTCTGGTGCTTTGAGCAAAATGCTAACTTCAGGATGCTAGCATGCTCACAATAACAATGTTAACAGGGAATTTTAGCAGATAATATTTATAGGTTTACCGTCATATTTTAGTTTGTTAATAAAGTCTGATGAGAAAGTACAGGCACAGTGGTGCAGTGGTTAGCACTGTCGCCTCAAAGCAAGAAGGTTGTGGGTTCAAAACTTGGTCGTTCCAGGCCTTTCTGCGTGGAGTTTGCAGGTCCCCCCCGTGTCTGTGTAGGTGCTCTCCAGCTTCTTCCCGACATGCAGACTAGGTTCATTGTTGACTCTAAATTGTCTTTAGGTGTGAGTGGTTGTTTGTCTTTGTGTGGCCTTGCAGTGGATTGGCAAACTATCCAGGGTGTACCCCGCCTTTCGCCCGATGGCAGCTGGGATTGGCTCCACCCCCCCGCGACCCTGTACGCAGGATAAGCAGTTGACGATGGATGATCTAGGGACCTTCAGTATTAGTTGTTACTGTTATAATGTTCCATTACAGATTTGGCTTAATTTATTTATTTATAAAAAATATTAACCATAGGCTGCCACTTCAAATTATTTTGCTCCATTTCAAGCTGAGACTTAAAGCTACAGTCGGCAACAACTGAACATACAATGCAAAACCTTCCTTATCTCTCTCTGCTGCTTCTATCACTCTGCTAAGCCCCTCCGAACCAATCCCACAAGTTCGTTAGGCAGCAGAAGGAGCCGTTTGCCCTGCAAAACCTCATTCCTTGGTCGCCATGGATTCTTGCAAATAGCATTAGGAGCAGTAGGAGAACAAATGTCCTCAGTATGCAAAGGTGCACAAACACAAACATATACATATTTTGATTTGTATTCCCGGTAAATACAAGGATCTCAATTGACGTGTTCAACCCTGCAGGTTTTACACTGGAATCAGCAGTAGACTGAATTCCAATTTACAATTCTCTGCCATCACATTGAATGGTTGAAAATCATCTGTAGATCCATGCAGCTTCATGAGTGGCTTAACTTTGTGTTCCAGTTGTGTTTAGTCGGACTTGGCCCACTGTTGACTGTCTCTCTTGTGTTTCCTGTCTCTTCTGCGTGCCTCTTGATCTGTTTCTGCCCTTCCGCATGTCACTCACATTCTCTGAGCCCACTTGCATTCAAGTGCCTGCAAAGCCTATGCCAAGAAGAATCAGAATCAGAATCCGCTTTATTTCCAGGTATGTGTACACATACGAGGAATTCGACTCAGGATTATACATTGCTCCCGATGTGCTTACTTGTACAAAAATACCATAATACAATAATAAAATAATAATAAAATAAAATCAGACACAAACTACAGTACAGACAACACTAACACTATGAACAAAACAATATAGACATATTGACAAGGAACCTTTCCCCTCAGAAACACAAAGGCAATCTTGTGAAACTGCTGTTGGGTCCTCGTGGCTGAGATCCATTCTGTCCATATAAATTAAATTAAATTTGAATCAATCAGGGTGTAATCAGTCAGGCCACATGGAACCTTGATTTCCCTTGAAAACTGAAAGAGAAAAAGTGGGAGAGAGGTGAGAGATGAAACAGTGTCTATTAAAGCTCATGTCCAGTTATATATTATGGAAGGGTGGCAGTGGATGGCTTGTTGTGTCTCCATCATCCTCTTGTGTGGCTACATAATGAGGGAGGTGATATGGAGCAGAAGAAAGATAAAGGAAACAGTAAAGGAGCTGAAAGGAAGTGGCTGATTGGAAGAGTATAAGGGCGATGTTTTGGCAGGGGTGTGTATCAAACTGCGTGCGTTTTTGAATCATTTTGAGAATTTATAGCTGGAGAGATACGCTGAAGGGGGGCAGAGACAGAAAAAAGCCAGAGCTGCACTAACCAAGAAGGAAACATATGCTGAGGTAAACAATACTTGGGCAATAGCACAATAATTAATTGCACCAATGTGATCCAGTTCTCTCTTTGGAGAACTTTGATAATGCTGTTAAAATGAGAATAACTTTCTGTCGAGCCAGGTTGAGACTTGAGAGTTGAAATTTTCAACACAGCAGCCACTGTGATCCAGACAAGCAAGGCTTTTGTCTGGATCAGACATCAGTGCTCTGTCTCGTAGCGCCAAGCCACTCCTTGTTCCTGTGACAGTGTCAAACAGTCCTTTGTTTTCCAAAACATGAGCTTTTCTACGCAGCATATCTCTTATTGACAGTAACTTGCAGGGGTCCTTAACAGTGTGAAGCCCTGACTTTCTTCCATACTTTCTGTTCCTCTGCAGAACCCCGCTGCTGCAAAAATAGTGACATATATCAACAACCTCGGTAAAAATTGTTTGTCACACAATACAGATGAGATAATTAACATGCAAAATAGAATTACTACTACTGAACATTAATTCCATTTAAAAGATACTAACTGTACAAGTGACTCATGAATGAACACATGAGTGCTTACCGCTGAGCTGATTGACAGAGTGTGCTGGCAATGAAAGGCTGGCCTTTTCCCTTATTCATCATGAGATTTCTCGCTGTCTAATTTCTAAACTGATGTGATTTCATAATTCCACATGGATGTGAGATTGAATACAGCCAAACTTCCCAGCAGAAAGTAGTAAGTCCAAAAATTGTAAAACTGAGGAATGCATTGCTTTTCCACAGCGCTGCATGCTGCTAACACTGCTAGTTTAAAGGATTCACATCCTGGAGGCAACTATTGCACATGCTAAACCACTGAGCTGCAAAGAACCACAAACACCTGCTTCCTGCCAGTCAAGATGGCTGTGAGGTCACACAGTACTCTGTAGCATGGCATGCTGTAAGTGATGTAGAGTGAAATGAAATACCCCACAACAACTACATAGCAGGCTAAAGGTCAAATGTTAGCTAAAAATGTCTCCTATCCTTCATAGACCTTCAAGAAAGCTCAGTTTAAGTTTAATAGTAATATTCCACACATTTCTAATTTTTTCTAATAGTTTTTCAAATATAAATGTACGTATTCTGCGTTAAAGCTGAAAGTATAGTAATACTGCATATATGAATACCTGTGATGACAGTTAATGTAAATATTTGCTCAGCGAGGGTTTATGACTGCCTGAATGCAACAGGATGGTATTGCTTACCTTGATTGTGTGTGTTGGAGGTTTGAGATTCTGCCAAATGGAAAGAATCACTTCATCTGAGCATTTCATTAAGGTAAAACTTATGTGAAAATGTTAACTTCCAAAGCAGCCGTAGCGTAGAATGTTTAGTAATGTAGGCTCGGCCACTGCCGCTGTGGCTCAACACTCAAAACCTGTAAGTCTAGTAATGTGATACTACAATTACCAAAAACTACCAAAACACCAAACAAGAGTCAACAGCAAAGAAAAGCTGTTTGGCATTTTCAGAGAACATTTAGCACATTTTTCGTGGGCACAACCCACACACTCTGCTCTGCTGCTGATCCCACAAATACATGTTCCTTACAAATGTGGCACCATTTTACAGGCTTTCCAATGGCATACGATGTATTGCCAAGAAGCATTGATGCAACAAAGAAATAATCTAGCAAACACAAATTTCCTTACTTTTTGCGCTACATTTGGTGTTTCACCCATGCTGATAGTGAAATGTGGTGTTGTTTTTTTCTCATGGAGGCAAGCACCAGGAACAGGCTTGGGCCCCTTGTGGATGTCATCCCTGAAAGCTGGACTGTAATAAATCCCAATTTTAAAGACCTACCTAGCGGATCTTTGAAATCACACAGAGCTCACTTTGAGGAAGCAAGGTTCCCTAAAATAGCCTGTGGCCTCAAAGCTATGCTTGTTAGCCTACTTAAAAACATATCTGCAGAACACAGAGCTGGAATCCCTGCATCTGTGTGTAACTGTGTTAAGTAGCCTATGTCAGACTGTCGGAGTGAAGGCGGGGGGTGGGGGATGTTTGGTAGAGGTGCCGTGAAATGTTCCAGCAAATGTCCAGGTGATGCTATAAGTGTGGGACAAATGACAGACAGGGCCTTTCCGAAACTAGACCCTCGCCACTTCCAATCCACAGGGAGTGAACTCTGGTCGAAGTCACCCTCCAGGCCAAATCAAGCTCCCTAACCCGCATAGGTTTTAAATAGGCTACAACGACAACTTTCAGACGAACTACCCTCTCTCCCCAGCATAAATAGGATCTGACGTTACCGCTGCACTCACTGCTATAATACGTGTATCAAATAAAATAACAGTGGTATTAAGATTCAGGATTGATGTTGAGGAAAAGTGTGTTTTTTGCAATAACGAAACTGAAAGCATTTGTCATTCATTTTATGTTTGTGTTCGTGTCAAATATTGATATATGACTATATTCTTTTATGAAAAGATTGATATTCATTGTAAAGAAACGCCTATATAGGCTATTTGAACCAAAGTGGGATATGCAAAAACTAAATTAACAGACTGGACTGTTCAGCCACCATGATGTTTTGTCTCACTGTGTGTGAGAAAGGCAGGCTCTTCATATGTGTTCTGTCGTCTCTTTCATGAGCTCTATTCAGTTCTGTTCTCATTTTCTCACAAACATCAGCCCCCTGCTCTCTCGTGCACAATGTTTCTCACAAAAACTCCAACCAGTATCATGCAGAGGAGGCAGCAAACCACAGACTGACACCTTGAAAATCTGACGGGGGCACTGCCTCAGACAGAGCTCACACACGTAATACTGCAGATTAAAAAAAGACAGACAGACATAAAGATGACTGGCAGCCAATCAGCCAGGAAAGGAAAGCTGGGGCAATCTGCAGAAAGCATCAAATGCAATTTAAGCACTAATATAACCATCTGTATAATATAATTTAAGGATACTGGTTTTGCAGGATATGAAGATGTGTTGAAGCAGCAATTCTAAAGAAGCACAGCTTTTATTTTATTTGAATAAAACGTCCTGATTAACAAATACTACAATACAAAACATTTTATATGGCATTTCAGAAGATTAAACTTTTTTTTTGATTATTTTCTTTAACCACAGTTGCAGATAAAATCGGGATCCCTCCTCTGATACTTCCCTCGAGGGTTCTCCATTTTGATTTCCTCTTAAAGAACTTTTTGGCTTAAAAAAAAATTGACTGGAAAAATTCTGTGACCTGCCGTGTTACTGACTTCCCGTTTTATAGCATGAGAACAAACTTGGCCCGCATCAGATGCCGATGAATGTGATGTGGATGTTTTAATCTTTGAGCTACAAGCAGAGCCATGTTGATTGTTGTAGAGGAGAAATGACCACACACATACTCACTTATAATAATGCCTGTCAATGTCACTCAGTGAAACTGGGCTTGTGGGTTTATTGAGGGTTTTCAGTTCACTTTCATTCTGGAAATTAGCCTTTGATTGACAACGGTACAACTACCTACATGATTCCCAGCAGTAGAGAGCCTTTTCTGTTGGTTTTTAATGCTTTGTTTAGTCGAGAGTGTAGTTGTAATAGTTGTGGTTTGAATATCCTGTTGTGAGTTGAAGCTTTCAAAGGGGCCAGTTTTTGATATAGCCAATTACATAAAATGGCCTTTCAGAGTTGCAACATGAATTACACATTATGACCGTCTGCAATCCAACTGCGAAAAATTATAATGTATAGTGAATAGTAATTAGTGTCCTTTATGAGGTTACGCACAACAGTTTTGCAACAGTTTTTATTAATACAGTATTATAGGTTGCAACATAGGTAAATGCCAGTAAAAATGGGTTGTTGCCCAATGAAATCTTCTTGTTACAGATATTATGCAAAATGTCCTTATGAAATACAAGGCATGTGAAAAAAAGAGTTTATTAGCACAATCAGGGGGATTGCACAAACCTGACCGTTAATACATACTGTTCCTAGCAGTCATATACAGCACACATGATGGTCTGATCAGCACTGACTGGAAGTGCTTGCCATGTTGAAATACAAGCACCAGCTGCTGCCCATCAGCTGACCTCGGAGCTCCCTGGGAGTTTGGGATAATGAGAAGAGATTGGTCATAATCTGGTTGATGTTATCCTATCGCCATTTGCCATGTTCCAAGATGTCCTTGTACCTAATGATCATGGCGATTTAACTTTTTTGAAGTCAACAACATAGTCATTGACCACAACAGTAACGTAGTATAATTTCCCTATTTGAAATGTACTCTTTTGCTTAAACCTGCAGTGTGGAACTTTTTGTCTCCCCTTCTGACAGTGAGCAAGGACTTGAATTTAACATTCATTTATATGTAAAAGGTCCACACTTTAGCTTTAAATTTAATTAACAAAGAAAAGGACATTAGAGGAAAAAAGGTGATTGTGTTTGAACTTCAACTTGTGGTTCAACTAATAGTTTAACATTTTAAGAAACTACTATAAAGCTACAGACTGTTAGCTTAGCTTAGTGTAGCATAAACACTGCAAGCATGGGTAAACAGCTAGCCTGGCTCTGCCTACCAACATCTCAAAGCTCAATGATTGACTTTATAGCTCTGGGTTGTAATGCGTACAAAAAACCCAAGAGGAAAAACGACAAGTTACGTGCTGCACTATCCCTTGACTGGGCAAAGTAACTTGCTACCTTTGGACAGTGCCAGGCTAGCTGGTTACCCCTTTTTCTTTATGCTAAGCTAAGCTGACTATCTCCTTGATCCTTGTAGCGTGATATCCAAGCGAGTAGTATAACTACGGTGCCTGAGACAGGACAAAGATGTCATCTATGAGATAGCAGAGTTGCCAGTCAAGAAATTAGGTTTCGTTAGATAGCCTAGATATATTAAGAAATGATGTTTACTTAATTATTCAGTGAAACCATTTTTTTATATATTATTGTTACTTGTTCATTAATAAACAACAGCCACATCAAGAAATTAAGTGCTACATGATGTCTCATACTCCTGTAATACAGTATTTCACAACTTGGGAGGGTTGGCTCATCTGGACTAACATACCAAAGAAAATGAAGAACATCTCAAAAACTATCACATCTAGTGCATCAAGTATGACCACTTACAGATAACAGGACAATGTAAGCCTCACTGTTTCTGCACCACAGTCCATTATAAACTCCTCTCACTTTGCTTAATTAGATAAGCAATCTGCAAATCTTACCAAAATATCTTATTTCATTTTTTAAAATACAACAGAAAAACAAAGTATTACTGACAGTTATAATTTCAGCTTGTAGTAAAACAGTGCAACGTTTTTAATGGGCATTTAGCATGTGAAAGCACAAATTACACATTTGAGTGCACAGTAGCGAAGCATTTACATTTATCTGATGCTTTTATCCAAACCGACTTACAATTGCTATATACAGTGGGTACGGAAAGTATTCAGACCCCTTTAAATTTTTCACTCTTTGTTTCATTGCAGCCATTTTCCAAAAATCAAAAAAGTTCATTTTATTTCTCAGTAATGTACACTCAGCACCCCATCTTGACAGAAAAAAACAGAAATGTAGAAATTTTTGCAAATTTATTAAAAAAGAAAAACTGAAATATCACATGGTCATAAGTATTCAGACCCTTTGCCGTGACACTCATATTTAACTCAGGTGCTGTCTATTTCTTCTGATCATCCTTGAGATGGTTCTACACCTTCATTTGAGTCCAGCTGTGTTTGATTATACTGATTGGACTTGATTAGGAAAGCCACACACCTGTCTATATAAGACCTTACAGTTCACAGTGCATGTCAGAGCAAATGAGAATCATGAGGTCAAAGGAACTGCCTGAAGAGCTCAGAGACAGAATTGTGGCAAGGCACAGATCTGGCCAAGGTTACAAAAAAATTTCTGCTGCACTTAAGGTTCCTAAGAGCACAGTGGCCTCCATAATCCTCAAATGGAAGACGTTTGGGACGACCAGAACCCTTCCTAGAGCTGGCCGTCTGGCCAAACTGAGCTATCGGGGGAAAGAGCCTTGGTGAGAGAGGTAAAGAAGAACCCAAAGGTCACTGTGGCTGAGCTCCAGAGATGCAGTCGGGAGATGGGAGAAAGTTGTAAGTCAACCATCACTGCAGCAATCCACCAGTCGGGGCTTTATGGCAGAGTGGCCCGACGGAAGCCTCTCCTCAGTGCAAGACACATGAAAGCCCGCATGGAGTTTGCTAAAAAACACCTGAAGGACTCCAAGATGGTGATAAATAAGATCCTCTGGTCTGATGAGACCAAGATAGAACTTTTTGGCCTTAATTCTAAGCGGTATGTGTGGAGAAAACCAGGCACTGCTCATCACCTGTCCAATACAGTCTCAACAGTGAAGCATGGTGGTGGCAGCATCATGCTGTGGGGGTGTTTTTCAGCTGCAGGGACAGGACGACTGGTTGCAATCGAGGGAAAGATGAATGCGTACAAGTACAGGGATATCCTGGACGAAAACCTTTTCCAGAGTGCTCTGGACATCAGACTGGGCCGAAGGTTTACCTTCCAACAAGACAATGACCCTAAGCACACCGCTAAAATAACGAAGGAGTGGCTTCACAACAACTCCGTGGCTGTTCTTGAATGGCCCAGCCAGAGCCCTGACTTAAACCCAATTGAGCATCTCTGGAGAGACCTGAAAATGGCTGTCCACCAACGTTTACCATCCAACCTGACAGAACTGGAGAGGATCTGCAAGGAGGAATGGCAGAGGATACCCAAATCCAGATGTGAAAAACTTGTTGCATCTTTCCCAAAACGACTCATGGCTGTATTAGATCAAAAGGGTGCTTCTACTAAATACTGAGCAAAGGGTCTGAATACTTATGACCATGTGATATTTCAGTTTTTCTTTTTTAATAAATTTGCAAAAATTTCTACATTTCTGTTTTTTTCAGTCAAGATGGGGTGCTGAGTGTACATTACTGAGAAATAAAATGAACTTTTTTGATTTTTGGAAAATGGCTGCAATGAAACAAAGAGTGAAAAATTTAAAGGGGTCTGAATACTTTCCGTACCCACTGTATGTCAGAGGTTGCATGTCTCTGGAGCATCTAGGGGTTAAGTGTCTTGCTCAGGGAAACATTGGTGGATGTGTGGGGAGTGGAACACAGGTCTCCCATACCAAAGGTATGCATCTTATCCACTGCACCATCACCACCCCACAATATCCAATAATAATATAATGCAAATTCGGAGAGTGTTCATTATTGATATAGAGTATTAGGCACACGGTCTTGTTATATATCACCATTAGCAGTAAAAAGAAATACATGTTTTCCATTAGGGCAGTAAAATGTGAAATGTAAAAGTTTGAGCTTCCATGCTGTTACCATTTTATTGCCAATAATATTCATCAGCTGTTTCACTGTCCACGTAACAAAGCCATAACAGAGCGCTTGAGAAGAACTACATGAAATTACTGAATGATACGTGAATTTAGCTGGCTGATCTGAGCTTCGATGCTGGAAGTTGCCTTTTATTGCCAATTAGTAATCCGCTGATTGTCTCAAGAACATAACCGACAAAGCCAAAACAGTGCTGGAGAGAGAGTAACTACATGAAATTAAGCTACATATTTTACACCACAAGCCAAAGCCTTGCAGTGCTGGAGAATAAACCAATGTAACTAACCTTACATGATTTTTCTACCAGGGCAGTAAAAGATTAGCTGGCTGATGCTTCCATGCTCTAAGCTACGGTTTTATTGCCAATTAAAGTTACTGATCAGCTGATTGTCTTGCTAACATAACCGGCAAAGCAAACCCACAGGCTGGAGAATAAGTAGGCGACGTGAAATTAATTCAGCTACATATTTTACACCACTGACTTCAAGCTAAAGCTATCAAACAACAGCTTTCATTTGCATCTCTAAAGCCTGACAAACTTAAGTTAGTTACCTGTCCATCAGAAAACAGACAACTTCAGCACCGTTTTGAAAACATCTGTCCCACATTAAAGCCTTCCATCTGGGAAAATCCACATCCGTGATTTCTGCTGTCAGCTGTCTTAATCTGTCCCGACTCGTCTGGCTTCATTGTATAAAGATCCACAGGCTGTCGGCTCTTGTGCTAAATAACACGTGTGTGCAAGTTCATTTGTCCAAATGTCACTTCTCTTCTTACTTCTAATAAACCAGAAGACTACTCAGAGATTGCATATTATTGTTATTATTATTTCCTCTTCTTCTTCTTTGTATATATTCAATGTTGTGACGGGCGTCTACACTGCTGGAATTATACAAGCATAAGAAGAACGCTGTGATGACGAAACGCGCTCTGTAGC